ATATATATATATATGATCGTAGTGAAAATCTTCTTAGTATATGTATTTTTTAGTATATTATATATATGTATATATATATATAACTATATATATATATATATATATATATATATATATATGTATGTGAGTGTAAAATCTTCTATATGCATATGTAATTTTTAGTATATTATATATATATGTGTGTATATATATATATATATATATATATGTGTGTGTGTGTAAAATGTTGTTATACACACACACACACACACACATATATATATATATATATATATATATATATATATATATATATATATATATATATACACAATGATGTGCGTATATTAATCGTCTTTATTTCAGACCTCGATTTTGATCATATGACAATCTTGAAAAAAAAAATAATTCTATGAAAAAAAAATAATAGGCTTTTTCTTCCAAATTTGGTCGCCTTGTCTTGAACGACTTCTTTAGCGAAAAGTAAAGAAAGAAACAAAAAAGAAACAAAAAACAACCAAAAAACAAATGAATAAAGAATTCAATTCCAAAGACAATTCTTGGAATTGATTCCTTTGGTGAGTGATTAGCCGAGGAAATGCAATTCGCTGAAACGCTTCTTTACAAATGCAGAAAGGCTATTCTTCTGTTTCTTTCTTTTTATTTTATTTATTTATACCTGCAATTAAAGACCCGATAGACAAACGGATGATGCAAAAGTACTTACACTTCCAAACCCCATCTCCTTCCCTTAACAAGAAGCAATTTCTACTAGGATAGCTTTCTACTCAAGAACCAGACTGTGTGGGACCGACTCCGGGCATGTGGTTTTCTTGGGCACTCTAATATTGACCACTGTCAAGGTTTAAACTTTATTATAACCACATGAACTGTACACGTCACCTTTTTATCTGATGCCCATACAACAGCACACAGTGACCCTGTACCTTTTTTGCCCTTTGGCCTTGTATTAGGTCAATATTAGTATTAAAAAAAGGTACGGGTGGGAGTTGCTCGTTGGGTGTAATTCGGACCCAAGTCCACTAAACGCGATTAATCCAATGCGAGAGCGTGAAACTCGTGTAAGGACGCGACACACACACACACACACACACACACACACACACACATATATATATATATATATATATATATATATATATATATATATATATATATAGATAGATAGATAGATAGATAGATAGATAGATATATGGTTAAATACCAATCATTTATAAATTCCACAACGGTAAAGTAGATGTAGAGTCCCATAAGGTTATAAAACAAGGTATAAAACTTACAAAACCTCGATTCATTTCAAACAAAGGTTCAAAGCTTAATCTAACAATTTTTCTGTTACACCCAGTATATATATATATAGAGAGAGATAGATAGAGAGATAGATAGATATTAAGATTAAAACATATTTTCTGCTACGTTTAAAATTTGAATTTTTAAAAAAGTAAATGCTAAAGAACAGTAGATTCTAATATCTCTTCTTTCTCTTTAATTGAATATATATATATATATATATATATATATATATATATATATATATATATATATATATATTTTTTTTATTGTATACATATGTAAATTCTATTTTAAAAGCGCAGATATGCAAAAAAAATTTTGTAAACAGAACAGTTATTCTAAATCTGTTCTTTCTCTTTAATTGAATATATATATATAATAAAAATATATGAAGATAAATATAGACGGAAAAATTAAAAAAATCTTATATAAAATTTATTTTGTTTTAATGTTTTTGCATACCGAAAAATGTTTGTTTTTAATATAAATTTGGAAATAGAAAATCAAAGAAGTTCGATTTATTGCTTTCCAATATATATATATATATATATATATATATATATATATATATATAAATATATATATATATAGAATATATATATATATATATATAATTATTTTAGAAATGAATATTTTATATATATATTATAAATTGAAATATATATGTATATATAGATAAATATATATATAAGAAATATAGAAAAATATATATATATATATATATATATATATATATATATATATAGAAAATATTTATAAAATAAAAAAAATGTAGTTCTTGAGTGCTTTTATTTAAAATTTTTTTTGGAATAGAAAAATAAAAAAATATTATGAATGCTTTTAAAAGGATACGTATTGAAACTCACGCTTTTTATTTTGATGCTAAATCGAAAAAAAATTAACTGCCAAGATTTTAACAAAAACATTTGATTACATCTGATTTTATTGTAAAAACGTTTAAATTTTAAAAAATAAGTTAACGCAGCGGATATGTCTGAGAGATCAATGGATACAAAAAAAAACAGATAGTGATACATAATATAGATATTATATATATATGAATATATATATATATATATATATATATATATATATACCAGATAGATAGATGAATAGATAGATAACGGACTTTTAAAAAATATAAATCCTTATCAACTTAGATAGATAGACCGAGTTTAGATAGATAGATAGATAGATTAGATAGATAGAAAGAAACAATGATAGATAGATATGATCATATTGCGATATGGAGATAGATAACAGAATGGGATGGATATAAAATATAGATATTATGGATAGATATTATGAAATTGATATATATATATATATATATATATATATATATATAGTTAGAATGAGAGAGAGATAGATAGATAGATAGATAGATAATAAGAGACTGAGATAGATATAAAAAGCATATATATATATATATATATATAGTTTATAGATAACAGAAAGGGAAACAAAAAAAAACGTAGATATGTAACGAACTTTGTCGATCGATAGATAAATCAAATCGAGACAGGCTCCGACAGGCGGAAAAAATAGATAGATAGATAGATAGATAGATAGATAGAGAAGATAGATAGATCGATATGGATAAACTCAGAAAAATATATTTCATTACTATATTTTTATGCAATAAATTTACAGAAACGAAGAAAATCAAAAAAGAAAACCAAAAAAAAAGGAAGGAAGGGCACCTTCAAGACAACATAAATAATTATGGTTCGTCGACAATTGCAGATCACAGGAAAACGTAAAGTCAAAGAAAGGAAAAAAAAATTTATAATACAAAAAATAAAAATAAATAAAAAAAAATAAAAAAATAAATATGAAAGAATATTGAATTTTAAAATTTCATAAATTTTAATCATTAAAATCGCTTCCATCGTTTAACGAATTTTGGTTCTGAAGCCTTTTTTCGAAAAAATCTATTTTCATATTTTATTTTCATATTAATTTTCATTTTATATTTTTTTATTTTTATTTTATTAACTCGAAGATATTGAAGCTGTTGCATTACAATAGCAACGTATTCGTTGAATTAAAGAAAACAGTTATCTGCAACTCGAGTTTTCCTCGTCAAAATCCAGAGACGCATACGCAATGTGATAGGTCCTGATCTGGCATCTCGTCTACATCCACTTGAAACAGACAATTTGTGGTTTTCTGTGTCTTTTCTATGATATTTTTTACGGCAACAGCTCCGATTCTTTACTTTCACTGTTTTTCCCAAACTGCATTAATTTAAGCGTGCTACTAATTTGGCAAATCAGTATTATCCTTTCATTATAAAAACAGCTAAATGTAGCCGTCTCTTCTACTCCAACAATTCTTATCCCATTGACTTCCCATCATATGGAACTAGATTCTCTTACTTGCTTCCCTGATAGTTGTTTCTTCAAATATTCAAATGTAACGTCAATCGACATTGTTTCTTAATATTATAAACGAAAAACCTGTATTCCAAATGGGAGACCCAAGAAATGCAAAAAAATTGAAACAAAAACGAATAATTCTATTATTATTTTTTTTTTTTCATATGTTTCAAATGAAAAATACAAACTTCAAATATATATGTTAAAAAAAATTAAAAAATTTTTGATCTTGAAAAATTCCTCTATATCATTTCCTCAAACATAAAGATTTACTCTAAAATTCCCTGTAAAGAAAAAAATGCGCTAATTTTTATTTGATCAAAATGCTCAAAGATGAAATGCTGAGGAAAAAAAAAAAAAAACATTCTATTTCTTGAATTTCTGTTTACAATCGAAATATTTTCAAAAAGGCATGAACCAGCATTTTTTCTTTGCTTAATTTATTCATGTGGGAACAGAATTCAAAAACTTATCTTCGTTTATATAATTAATATTTTATATAAATTTTGATATTTTTAAGTTGATATCATTAAAAAAATATATTTTGCAATAGAAAATCAAGAAGAATGGTACTGTTTCGCTTTAAAGCTCCTCAACCTAATGGGCGAACATCCGAAAATCTCAAGAAATCAGGATGGAAAAAAAACCGATTTGATTGTCAGTCATTTGCGTCTACCATGAGCTTATCTAATTTATTCAGTAGAGGAAACAATAAATCTAGCGTTTTATTTTTTTTTACGAATGTAAATAAATGCCAATCAGCCAGAGTAAATTCTATTCATTTTTACTGAAGAGCTTTGCATAAACGAAATGTGGATGTTGTTTATAGAAATACAGAAATCAACAGTATGAAGTTGAAATATATTTTCAAAGATATTTCGAAAATGATCGATGAAAATTTTATAAGTATATGAAATGCTCCTCTTAATGCAAAATAAAATGCCATATTTGATATTAGATAATAAAAAATTTTTTAATTCGATTTTTAAGATACAAATACCCACTGTAGATCTAGTTGTATTTGCTATGTGATGTTCAAACACTCCACGGTACAAACAGACGGTTAAATACACAACGAAGTACTTTAAACTATATAAAACATTCAATTATTGTAAAATGATTAAACAAATAAATTTAAAAAAAGAATGTCTGAAAAAAATTTTAAAAATATTTTCCATATTGCGAATTGTCCTTTAAAAAAATTGGTATAATGTTTAAAAATTCATTCAATTAGATAAACACGATTGAATAGCGAATTCGATAATCCAGAAAGACACATACATTCTGCCTTGAAATATCTATATTTTAAAAAAAAAAATCATTTTGAATTCTTCATCGTGAAATTTGCAACAGTTAGCAAATTGTGATTTCGATCGAAGTTACGACGGAGGTTAAAAAGTTCGATCTTCACTAGGCGAAAAATATTTTTATTGCCTAAATAAAGGCCGTAAACATTATACGCTCATAAAATCAATTTTTGGACGCTTAATATGATGTAAAATTTAGACAAAAAAAAAAATTACAGCTGAATAGTTAAGTTCGATCCTCACTGGGTAAAGAAAATGTAAACTTTTCGGTTGCCTGCCGATTCTAAAAATGATTTATTCACAATCACCATATTTATTTTCATTTGAAATATATAATTGGTTAACAATCCTCCACGACCTTTTTTGAGCAGAGGGAAAATTTATTTTGTTCCCCAAAGATTAATACAAAATTTTTAAATGGAAAATTTTTTAAAAAATTTGATCAATGAGTGATAATTAATTAAAATACCATTTTAAATCTTGAATGAATAATGTTTAAAAAGAAAAGGTTAGCAAAGGAGTCGCGCTAGATTAATTACTAGATTAAGTCAGTTTGATCCCCATGGAGGTAACTGAATAAATTTTGACCTTGTACAACTGAAATGTTACGCTTTGAAAAACCTTATGTTATCGGATTACTTTTGTAATTTTTTATCAAACAAACCATACTGTTTACAAAAAAGCACAATATAGTTGATTAAACAGGGAAATTGAAAATATTTTTTTGTGACTTTTGTTTTTTTTGTGAAAGGCATAAAAATTTCCTTGAATTTATGAGAAATTTGGCGTACCACTTAATAAATATTAAAGAATAAAAAAAAGTGTTTCAACACCTCGTTATTATTAACCAGGACTCCGGACAAAATGGCAAAATTTATAAAGTACACCCTTGTCCAAATTAATTGAAACAACCGCTTTAGTTTCCTTTCCTTGATCATAAGTTCAGTTTTCGACCCACTCGAGTGTCAGCAGTTTTTTTTCCCTCAGATTAGGTCATTTGCAGTGGTGTGCAGTAATATGAATCTCTTTTCAGGGTGTATGATAAAATTTGTTTGGCCTTGAAAAATATTGCGTCATCCGTGATTGCATCAGATTTTTAATCACACCCAAACACTATTGTCCCGACTGTCGATTAGTTGTCCTACGGCCATTGTCTGCGATGGACCTTTCTCCAAGGAAGCGTACGAAAATTGTAACGCTGCACGGACACACTGGCAAGTCTTACCAGTGAGCATATCGAAGTACTATAGACTGGTTTGGAAACTCTCCTGATTTAAATACAATCGATAATCTGTGGTCAATCTGCAAGGAACGACTTCTTGGAATAGACATACGAAGTACTAACATATGCACTGGGTTAGGTTTCATTTGAAACATATGAAAAAAGAATAAATAATAATAGAATTATTCGTTTTGTTTCAATTAATTTGCACAAGGGTCTACATTTGGTGGGGACAGATTTTCCAGTTATAATATTAATAATTAAAAAGTTAAAATGGTGCATATTCCTTTAAAAAAAAATTGCTCTTTAAGGAGAAAGTTTAATTTAGTAAAAGACTGAAAATACGGAAAAAATAATAACTTGATTTTAACCATTAACAATTTCGTGCTCAGCAAAGTAACTCCCTATAAAAATTTTATTTTTATTTGTTCAAAATTGGGTAAAATATTTAAAAAAATTTGAAGCGAGATATAATTAAAACAATTTAATTTTTCGAAAATATGGGTCTTCACTGTCCAGTGGGTCGTGCGATAAATAAAATGGGTCGGTTGTATAAAAAACAAATATATAAATGAATAAAAAGTTAAAATATAAAAAGTTGTACAACAGATTTAACCAAGGTAAATTTGTATTATATTTACAAATTTTAAAGAACATTCACAAACAACACACAAAAAAATGCATATATATAAACAATATATATATATATATATATATATATATTTATATATATATCATTTACTCAATTATTATACTTTTGTTAGCAGGTTTTAAAAAAAGGGGAACAATTTTCTTAGAAGACAGAAAGGAGCACATGAAATTTGATTTAGTTTTGAAGGTTTTATGTGCAGGACCATAACAAATTTTTTGATTAACGATTTACAGAGACCTGGATTTTGCAAAACGTGCAACAATGTCATATGAAAAAACCGCCCTCTGCAGGTTTATTGAATTCAAGTTGTTTTTTTTTAGACCAATTGCCATCCAAGCTGGAGGTGGAAAAGGATTCACACACCTTTCCCAAGGGAGTTTTTTTTGTTTTTAAGGAATGTAATGGAATGATGGAATTATATCCGATTCCTCAATCCGAATGCTATCCATACTTCTTATGCCTCATATATATATATATATATATATATATATATATATATTATATATATTTCTGAACAATTTTTATTCACCATTTAAATCAAATTAGAAATGTTGTTATTAATCAAAAATCGGTTTCTTAAAACTGATCTGCTTGACCCTGTCATACGATTGACTGGAGTAGCAGAAATATATATATATATATATATGTAATTGGATTTATTTTATATCAAGCAGCTCAGAAAACAGGAATGGAAACATGTATTTAATGAAAAATATGAATTGATTATTGCGGTGAAATTTTTTGCAGAAATTAAACAACGTTTTTTTGATATAAAAAATAAAAGAATAGAAAGAATTTATTACCACAAGATCCCCAAAAAACCCTCTGCAGATTTTTGAGTTTAATTTGTAATAAAAACGTAGAAACCAGTTGAAAAATATCTCAAATTTAAATATAGAAATCTAAAAATATAAATATAAAATCAACGAATAAAAAAAAACAAATTAACACACAAAGGGCATTGGCATAAGGAAGTAGATGAATAAATTGATTCCACTGAAAACAAGAACTCTTTTCTATCAATATATATATAAATCTGACTCATATATATATTATATATAT